CCCCAAAACCCCAAAACCCCAAAACCCCAATTTTAATATTCAAATGGAAGATTAAGAAATTAATAAAGACTCGTCAAAACCTTTAATTTACATTTGGCAATAATTAATTATTACTTATATTGCTGTTGTTATTTGAAGGTATATTACCCCCAACATTGTTACTTATCACGTCATTTTCGTCAATGCTGTTTTTACTTTTGAACATCAGGTTCTTAATATTCTTGTAAAGCCATTCATCCTGGTCAAATAACTTTCGCTTTTTACTCATCATAATCATATGCTTCTAAGAAGGTTTTAATTATTCTTAAATTTTTTGCTGAAGCTTTTTGCTATCCTTCATATTGCTTAGTTTTATATTTCTAATGCCCCCTCCTACAAACCCCTTATCAACAAGAATTTCAGGAGTTATTCTTTGAAATGAGGACTCATTAGAACTAAATTGATTTTGAAGTTCAGAGTGATATTTTTAATGGAAATAGTAATTTTTACTTGTTTACTTCATGTTTAATGGTGACTATACTGCTGAATTGTTGTTAATCTACATTAGACTTAGTGATTATTTATCAGGGTTCAAATTAAGACCACTTTAATTTCCCCCATAAACTATAGTCTGATTCTGATTGAAGTAAAACTAATCATTAGCTCTCTAAACTTTGTTTTTATTTCTCAAAATTTTGATTCTCTTATTACTATTATTTAGTGATTTAGGCAGCCTTGAAAGATTTTAATCATTATAGTCAAAATTAATTGGATTATGATATACCACTCTTTCATTCTTTTAAGGCTACAATTAAGTCTGTCTCGAGCCGATAAGTCTTTCATCATTAATATTTATGTTCGGCATATGAGATTTGCTGTTGTTCAACTAGAATGGATCTCCTCCCATTTTGACAACAAAAATGTCATTGAGGACAGAAGGCTGTTTGCTATGCTTATGAATTTAAGGTGATGGCTTTTACTAATTATATTTACTCTACTTTATTATAATTTGATCTCTGACTGATTATTACCCATCAACTGTTGATTCATTAGTCATTTTCCTGTCATTTATAGATTATGAGAACTGCTGATAATGATATTGATCAGCGAAATTAGGTCTATAATTTAAATTCACATGGTTGAAATGCTGCGCTGGAGCATTGTAGATTTTTTAAGTTTTACTTTTATCTAGCACTTTGTTTGGTAGTTGATGCGAGATAAATGCATCTTAAATTTAGCTTGCTTTATTCTCTAGTATGAGTGTTTGTATTTTCTCTTCCAATTCTTGATATTTATTTCTCCAGTCATTTATTTACTCTTCATAAGAATGATCCATTAGAATCTATGAATTTTCCTCAATCTTCATGCTTTACTTAGGCTGTCTTTGCTTTATCCTTCTTCCTCCAACTTTATGACTACTTTAATTATCTTAAATTAAAGACTACTGAATTGTATTATCATGTCTCATCCCCTCACTAGTATTGCTATGTGCATATCGATATAGACTTATATCATAATGATTTTAATCTTCTACCATAACATCTTATTATTCTTATTTTCCAAGTATACTATCTTAATTTACAAAATTATAATCTTCCAGTTCATCTTCATCGTAAATATTATTGATACTTTAAAACTGCTACCCATTTTATTTGTGTTAAATTATGTGCAAAGTCTCGCCAATCCTTTGCACTTTCTTCAGCTTAGAGCTATTCTCCATGTGTCTTTGTAAGTATTAATTCTGCTAGTGAAGGGTAGAAATCGTGATTTTAAGTTTCTTAACATCTCTATTTTACTGTAGGTCTATTTTATAGTTTAAATCTCGATTACTTTGAATAAAACTCTGAATCCCCAATAAGTAAACATTAAATTAGTTAAGAGGTTCGCTGTTCATCATATCGAAATCATAAATTTCCCAGTCATCTTGCAACTAAGGATATAATTATTTAAGATTAACTGGTTTTTTAGGCTCAGTATCACCTTATGGATTTGGCATGATTGGTAATTAAAAACTGAAAGCTGCTTCGCTAGATTCAGCACTAGTCTCACTAATCTAACTTTTCATACTTTTTTAATTGGTACTTCAATATATTTATTTCAGATATTATCAGAAGTTTTTATTTTAGTATTTAACTAGATGGGGTTTTGGGGTTTTGGGGTTTTGGGG